AACGGAACCAATTCAGTGAACCAATTGAAATGCAACCCCACTCAAGTCCCTTTACATCTCTGCTCAAGTTGCTGCCAGTCGGTTGAATATAATAATAAGTACTTCAGTAATAATAGTAGCTAATGTACGTGCCTGGGGGCAGTGGTGGTTCAGTGGTAAAATTCTCACCTTCTACGCTGGAGACCCAGGTTCAATTCCCGGCCAGTGCAGCTCATGCAAAGCCACCACCCATCTGTCAGTTTTAGCGGTGCTTCCAGACTAGGATGGACTAGGAAGAAAGGCCTGGCAAACTACTTCTGAAAATCAGCCAGTGAAAGCCCTGTGGATCACAATGGTCCAGTAGCCCCCTAACATGGGGATGGCACAGGACCAGGCAGTATTTTGTTCCATTGTGCATGGGGTCACCATGTGTCCTATGGCAGCTAACAACAACACGCGCGCATACACTGTTCTAAGCTGGAGTGACTAACTGGGGGCTCTTTTGGTGGTCCTGGTATGGGAAAGAGCTCTCCAGAGCCCTTGATCAAAACTCCCATCATGCTCTGAGCTGCCCACAGGTGTGTGGGGGTCACACCTGTGATAAGTGCTGCTATCTGGAGTTAGCTCAGATACAGCTGGCCAATGGGTGACAAGTCATAGGAGAGGCCCGAGGGTCATTGCATGCACACTGTATCACTTTGCTCAGTCCTGCAGGGTAAGTCAGTGTTGATTAGAGGAGGAGGGACGGCAGAGCATTCCAGGGAGAGGGACTAGCAGGGCACAGCCATGTGGCTGCCCGGCGCATGGTAGGTTCAAGAAACAAAGAAGAAGTCAGTAAGCCAGGAACATAGTGGGGCAGGTGCAGCTGGGAAAAGTTAGCAGGGAGGGGCCAGGCCTCACCCATCCCGGTAGACTGTGGAGTAAGGAAGGAGTCTGGTCTTTATCCCGAGACACATAGGAGTCTGCTCCCACCTTTGTACCACCTCACTCTACACTGTACCTTCTCACATTCTCAGACTATGACTTGTCTCTCCTTTTTTATACTACTCTTCCAACTTGTTTGAGCTCGACCTTCCTCTTGTTTCCAGTCTGGACCAGCTCCAGACAGACCCTGTTGCTCCCTCTCCCGTCCTCCACAGGGGCTCACTCTCTCCTCAGTATAGTATTTTCGCTTCAGGACATGAACTCTGGTTTAGTAGAACCAGAATTTATTATTCCTATGTAGCTGCTTTAGAGGGAGTGACTCTAGGGGAGTCTCTGAGAGAATCAGGACCAGACACGGGTCTCCAAACTCCTAGAAGGGTAGGGACTGGGTCTTATTTTATGTATGTATCTCTGGTGCTTAGCATAGAACCAGGTATGTACAAAACAACCCCATTACTGTCAAGTTGAATTCCGACTCATAGCGGCCCTATAGGGCAGAGTAGAACTGCCCCATAGGGTTTCTTTGTGGAAGCTGACTGCCACATCTTTCTCCCACGGAGCAGCTGGTGGGTTCAGTCAAACCGCTGATCTTTCAATTAGCAGCTGAGCACTTTAACAGCTGTGCTATCAGGGCTCCTTCCAGGTATGTACAAGTGCTCAAAAAATGATTTAAATGATTGTCAAACTGAATATTCAATATATTCAATATTTAATAATATATCCAATGTTTAATGATAGATGTTGTATATATTAGGAGCCCTGGTGGTGCAGTGGTTAAGAACTCAGCTGTTAACCAAAAGGTCAGCAGTTTGAATCCACCAGCTGCTCCTTGGAAACCCTTTGGGGCAGTTCTACTCTGTCCTATAGGGTCACTATGAGTCAGAATCGACTTGACGGCAATGGGTTTGTAATATATATATTACACAAACATATATTTAAGTTACCTAGAGATTAGTAGCTATAATATAACCTCCTTTATATAGGCATTTCTGAATAAAATGACATGGATTTCTATAAAACCTCACATTCTGCAAAATTCAAAAATAACAGGGTTTGGGGGCCAGTAGGGTTACAGCAGACCACTTACAACCCAGTCAACTCCGTGACAAAGCACAACCCTAGTGATAACACAGTCACTATAGGGCTATATGTTAAAACAAAAAAGGGGAAATGGATGGAAGGAGGCCTAGAGAAGGGTTGAGAGTGCTGAGTTATAGAGGCAGAAGCAGATAGATGTCTTTATCAGAAGTTACAGGTGGAAAGGCAGTTGGCAGCTTTGCCAGAATGTAGTGGTGTCAGGGATGGTTGGTCTGGCTCATGGCCCTTGCTCAGAGATCAGGGAGAACTAAGCAACAAGCCCTTCCAAGACAGAGCATGTGGCCACACTGAGCTGAGAGGAAGAAGATCTCATGGATAGTGTGGAGTCCTTCCTGGTTTACTACACTCAGAGGTGCCAGGGTACTGTGTGTCCAGCTGGTGTTACTCAGTGCTGTAAAACATTAATGTGCTGGCAACATTTGCCTGTGAACCAATGCAACATCCACATTTTTATTGACATCATTCCCCTGTATACTTCCTATGAACTAATCTGCCTGTGGAAGCAAGTTTGGTAGAATGAGCTATAACATAATATAAGACATCTTGATAAACCAAGAATGCCAGCTGGCTAGTTTGCACTGAGAAAGATACCAGTCATGCATCTTACGTGGCTTGTGGACTGTTTTCCTCCTGGTCCATGAGTCTATTCAATAAACCCACCTTACAAGCTGTCGTTATTGTTGCTGGGCACTGTCAAGTTAATTTAGACTCATAGTGACCCCATGACAGAGTGAAACTGCCCCATAGGGTTTTCTAGGCTGTAATCTTTACAGGAGCAGATCACCAGGTCCTTTCTCCCGTGGAGCTGCTGGGGGGGTTCGAACCGCCAACCTTTCAGTTAGCAGCCGAGAGCTTAACCATTTGTGCTACCAGGGCTCCTTCACCTTAGGAGCAGAGGGTACTTAATGAGTGTGGAGCAAAACCCTGTGGAGCTGGGTGACACCAAGTGAGAGCGTCCTAAACCTGTGATGTGATCCCCTCCCCATTGGGGCAGCTGCGCTCCCCCGGTCGTACCCTTGGGCTTGGGGTCAGAGGACCTCAATCCCAGGCTGTCCAACAGCTGTGTGACTTCTGGAAAATCACTTAACCTCTCTGTGCCTCAGTCTCCTCCACTGTAAAATAGGGCTAGTGACACTCCAAGATCTTTTAAGGAGCAGATTAGCTCATGGATGAACAGCTCTCTCTAAACTATAAAGGGCTTGTCCTTATGGATCATTGTCCTTCCTGTCAGTCAGTGCCTGGTCTCCTGAGGCACCTTCTCCCACTGGTTGGTTAATTCTAAGGGCAGTGGACAAGAGAGCTAAACTCTCTGGAATCAAAATAAATTAGTCACTAGGATTAAATGCAGAAGCATGAATTCCCCTGTAGGAAGGAGGCCAGGAACTTCTGACTGGGGAAGTTTGCTGGGCTTTGACAAACCCGAGGAGGTGGGAAACCTGCCCCCAGTATTCAACACCTCCCTCTCTGAGGCTGTCCAACTCAAGGGGAACCCCCTCTACAGAGCCTGAGGCCACCCCGTGCCTGCCCTTTCCATGCAGCCACCTCTCCGCCCCCTCGGCCTTTCATTTTGCTTCCCCAAAAGAGTGTCAAAGAAGAGCACAGGCTTTCAAATCACAAGAACATGGGTTTGAATTAGCTCTGCTACTTTCCAGCTCTGTAACTGCTGACTTTGGAAGCCCACTTCCTCATCTGCAGAATGGGCTACTATGTCCTACCTTCCGTGATTAAAAAGAAATACCAGTTGCTGTCCAGCCCATCCCAATTCATAGGGATTCCATGTGTGTCAGAGTAGAACTGTGCTCCATAGCATTTTCAATGGCTGATTTTTTCCAAAGAAGAATCCCCAGGCCTTTCTTCTGAGGCACCTCTGGGTGGACTTGAACCTCCAACCTTTCAGTTAGCATAGCCGCTGAGTGCATTAACCATTCACACCACCCAGGACTCTTCCCATGATTGAGAGGGTTATAAATCAGGGCTTTGCAGACTTTGACACGGAAATCACCTGAGGGTCTTGTTAAAATGCAGATTCTGTTGCCACAGGGCTGGCTGGGGCCTGGGAATCTGCCTTTCCAGCAAGCTCCTGGGTGATGTGACATCACCCTTGAATAGCAAGATTGTAGATCAGGTGTGTAAAGTACCTGGCGCAAGGTAAGTACTCAGTAAACAGGAGCTATTGCTGGTAAGATTATTTTTTTCCCCAGCCGATAGGTTCTCCTTTGAGAACAGGAGGGATGAATAGAGAGACCTCAGCTCACTTCAGAATTCTTAGGGAAACAAGAAAAACCAGGTTTGGCTTTAGCAGGGAGGGGCTGGGCGTGGGGAGGGAGCAGAGTGTCTTCCAAGCGGCTCCTGGGCTCGCCGCTCCACGCATGCACGTGGACGCAGGTGGCCTGCAGAAGTCGGGGCTCCGGCCTCGACTTGCCACGCAAACGCATCCTCTGAGCCCAGTGCACACAGGGTGCTTCTGGCTACAGCTCTCCCGAGGAATTTTCAAAGACACAGGGTTCACTTGGCAGGAGTCTGCGAGGATATAAATACGGTTTGGGGCTTTTGTTTTAAGGATTGCAGGTTTTTTTCGGCTTGAAGCCTGTGCACAGAGCTTCCTCCCTTTGCTGTCACCAAAATGGAATCATGAGGGGCACGCCGCTCACTCAGAAGAGACGCCAAAGGCTCAAGGAGAATGGGAGTGAGGTAAAAAAAAAAGAAGTCCTTCGCCTCCCCGTCAGATGTGGTCTTAGTTTCGCTCATCTGAAAGCCTACTTCTTGCCAGGCTGCTGAGTCATCCGGGGTTAGGGTCGTTTTTTTTCCCCCCCAGAATCTACACAAGGCCCAGAGATTTCGAGGTTGGTGTAATGAGCAGCTCGGGTCTCATGGTTTCCACTTCCTTTCTACTCCCCACTTGCATCCCCGTCTTCCAGTGACTCGGTCCTGCTAGAAAATGGAGTTGGATGCCCAATGGCTCGGCCCGGCTTTTAATATCGGGTTTCTCTTCTTTGTAGGTCTTGACGCAGTGACAGCTCTTGGAGTCAAATAGTAAAAAGATTCCCAGGATGTAAGCAATACGGGACTGGTGAGTGATGTTGTGTTTGGCAGTCAGGGGCCTGGGTTGGATTTCAAGAAGGGAAAGGAGGTGAATGGGAGGGGCAGGGGCAGCTGAGTCCTGTCCAGGAGGGCAGCAGGGCCTTTGCATCTCTGAGACTGTCTCCATGCAGACCCACCTGGAACAGCACGGTGCAGAGAATCCAGGTGTGAATTCCACAGAATGAACTAGATTCCTGCCAGTCCCTCCCCACAAGCAAGCGAGCTTGCTGGTGGCTGGGCTGTCTTCTTTCTGCTCAGCCTCACCAACCAGAGGGCGTGCGCTTGGAATCGTTTTCAGGGACCCTCTGGACAGGGTTAAGGACACACTCTTGGAACCGAGTCGGGGGAGGGGGATGTGGCTCACACCAGTTTGTCAGCCGTAGCCCCAAGGAGAGATGACTGAAGGGAAGTGAGAAAGCTTTCCGTGAACATTTGGTAAACTATCACTGGCAAGAGGAAAGTGGGCAGATATTGTCTCAATCTAAGGAAAAATTCTAGCCAAAGAGCTCTGCAAAGGTGAGATAGACGTCACTGAGAAGTAGTGAGTTGCCCATCGCTGGTAGAATTCAAGCATTCGTGAGTAAGGTTGAAGAGGGGGCAGTTGTGACTAGAGTAGTCTTTTGAAGACTGAAGTGGTGATCTAGAACCCCCCAAGGGGCCATAGAAGGAGGGAGAAGTCTAGGGAGAGCCTGAATGAGAGGAACTTCCTGGCACACGCACTCACATACTCTCACACTCATACACTCTAATACTCTTTCTTCCTCTATAAAACCATTTGGAAGCCAATGGATAAGATGACCCTCAGTCTCTCCTATGACGTATCACCCATTGGCCATTTGTAGCTGAGCTAACCCCAGACAGAAGCACACATCACAGGTGTGACCCCAGATACCTGGATGCATGTGACAGGTTCACAAAGCATGCTGGGAGTTTTGATCAGGGGTTCTGGGAGCTCCCTTCCATACCAGGGCCACCCAAAGAGCCATGAGGTAGTCAGACCATCAGGGGATTTGGCCCAAGATGCGGAAGAAGAGGCACAGGAGATGCTGTGGCAGGAGACGCCCCAGGACCCACAGAAGACAGAAGTGGGTGTGACCCAGGCAGACAGTCTGTGGGAGAAGCATGGCTTCTCCAAGGAAATCGGGGCCCTTTGGCAGGAGAGGGGCTGGTGGTACCACACACACAAGTGACCAAAACCTGGCCCACCGGCCATGAGAAGAGTCGCACCCTTGACCCAAATGCGGAAATTATGCCGGAGGGACACCCATTTCGCATGAGAGGGTATGGATAAGGAGCACACAGGTTTCCTTTGTTCTTTGTAAGGGGTCTTCTTCCCTGGTCTGGGTCGGTAAATATTTACCAAGGGCCCCTGAGGGCAGTGCTCTTTACGGAACTGACAATTGGATGAGCATCTGGTTTGACAGCTGATGTGCACGGGCTGTACGTTCACGGAGCCCTGAACGCTGATGCGGGGAGGGGGGCACAGGGGGCCGAGAGAGCTGCACAGTGAATTTGAGCCATGACTTGGCGCTTTCTTGGCAAGTCCTCAAGCGGGAGCTGGGCTCTGAGGACAGAGGCTGCGTCTTTATACCCACAAGTGCTGGCACATAGTAGGTGCTCAGCAGATGACTGTTGAATGACCGAAGGGGAAAGTGATAGGGAAGCAGTTCAGGGAGGAGATGTTTCTGGCTAAGAGCAGGACCCTGGAGACAGACTCACCAGATGCTGAGTCGACTCCTACTCATAGCGACCCCATGTGTGTCAGAGTAGAATTGTTCTCCATAGGGTTTTCAGTGGCTGATTTTTGGGAAGTAGATTGCCAGGCCTTTCTTCCAAAGCATCTCTGGGTGGACTCGAATCTCCAACCTTTCAGTCAGCAGCTGAGTGCATTAACCATTTGCACCCCCCAGGGATTCCGGAGTCACATTGCCTGGGCTCGGATCCTGGCTCTTTCAGTAGCTGTGGGGCCTTTGGGAAGTTGTCAACCTCTGTTTGCTTCCTTTTCATCTGTAAAACGGGCATAGTTGTAGTAACTGCCTCATAATGTGGCTGCATGGATTCAGGGAATTAATTCATCTAAAGCGGTTTGGCCCTGTGCCAGTACACAGTAAGTGCTCAATAAAGATTAGCCCTTACTTTGTAGTCGTGGGACATGACTCTGGGCTAAGGGTCAGGGCTGGGACAGGAAATAGCATGGGTCAGAGGATAGCGCCCTGGGCTGGGAGACAAGCTGCTGCCTAACTGCAGAGAGGCAACCAAGGAAGCAGTCACTCTCCCACGCACGTTCTCTACAACTGAGATGCTTGACAAAGCAGTCAAGGATGGCACCATTTTTTCTGCTTTCTCCCTCTGATGGTTGATCCTGGTTTATGGGCTGAAGACAGGGCCTCTAAGCCAGCTCCACCATTTATTACTAGTTGGGGGATGGGGGTCATGGAGAATGGTTTGATTTCTTACAACCTCCCTTTCACCCAGTGAATGGGAACACCCGTGTTTGCTGCCTTTCCTCCCGGGAGTGGTCTGGAGAACTGAGGAGCACTGGCCCAACAAAAAAAACAGTTGCTGTCAAGTTGATTCCAACTCATGATGACCCCATGTGTGTCAGAGTAAAACTGTGCTCTGAAGGGTTTACAACGGCTGATTTTCAGAAGTAGATCACCAAGCCTTTCTTCTTAGGTGCCTCTGGATGGACTCAAACCTCCAGCCTTTTAGTTAGTAGCTGAGTGCATTAACCATCTGTACCACCCAGGAGCTCTGGCCCAAGGAAAGGATTCTGTTAATGTAGATGGAAAATAATTTAAGAATCGAGCTTGGGTAGCCAGATCTTGAGTCTGACATCCCTGCAGTCAATGTCAGTTCCCCATCCCTTCCCCAGTTGGGTCTAGCTGCCTCCTTGGCTAAAACGCAAACAACTTGTCCCTGGATTCTCAGAAGGATGCTTCACCTTGCAAAAGGCACCACCCACTATCTCAGAAATTGTAGCATATTTCAAATAAAAATTGCCTTTAGCTGAAATATCTGTCAGGGTCACATTCCTCACATTAGTACTATACTTGGGGCTATTGAATGAGCTTGCTCAGGGGCCTACCTTTTGGCTCCCTGCCCCAACACCTTGACCCTAGCTGGATAGTAGGGTCATAGTGTAAGCCATTTAAACATATAGTAAATCATGTATGACACAAGCATGGCCCCTGTGCCTATGGTGTCTTAACAAATGCCCTTCATACACACCTCCTTTTCCCTGTACACCCCCCTGACATCTGAGTTACACAAACACCTGCCAAGTGCCCACAACCTCGCTTTCACCTTTGGTGGGAAGGAGGCTGGGATGAGGGAGTATTTCCTGGGGCAGCTTGAAAGGCAAAGCAGTTAGAGGAAAGAGGTTCAGATTCCTGGCTCTGCTCCTAAATGGACCAGTCATGTGGCCTCACTCAGCTCTGTTCCACCTCTATTAAAATGAGATGATTGGCCTAAATTGGGGGTATTGAATAGATTTCATCTGCCAACTCTGATCAATTGGTCCTAGCTGCCAGAGGCATTGTGTTGAGAAGGATTCTGAGGCAGATCCAGGAAAGGTATGCTACATTCGATTAGTGATGTCTGCCAAGGGAGCAAGAAGGAAGACTGTAGTAAATGTGCCACTTTTTTCTGCCATCCCTAGACAAAGCGCTGTCTGAGGCCCCTGCTTGCTTTCGCACTTTGTGGTTTTGTATCAGCAGCCTTGTTTAACAGCAGAGAAGCAAAGCACAGGAAAATCTCATTAATCTGAACTTACTTTAAGACCAACCTGAGTAAGTAAAAAGTCTTAATTTTAGGTGTTTGCTGCATGCAGATGAAGCTTTCTTACCATTCAGTACACAGAGTGAGCCAAGCCCAACTAGCTGACTGATGCTGCTGATGCAGGAACCGCAAGGGTCTGTGTTTAAGACAGGACTTCAAATCGATTCTTCCTGGTTCTGTCATGGCCAGGGAAACAGCACCAGAACAGACTCCAATTTTTTAAATTTGGGTGAACCGGAACCATAATGGGAATAGGGAAAATCACAGGTCAAAACCGTACTAGAAACGTAATCTCCCTCTTAGAAAACAAGGGGCATCGTACACATTACATACGCATTTCCTGGCGGATTTTGTGCAGAGTTGAAAACAGTGGTGCTCCACTCAGAGATGGCAGCCAACTGTGTCACTTTGAATGTGTGTCGCTCTCCACAGTCCTGCCAATAATCCAGTCTCATGTATCAGGCTCTTAAAATGCTTACTGTGCTTCTTCTGAGTCTCTCGTTCCAGGACTTCCATGCGTAATTTTTCCCGTTCTGATTATGGTTCCAGATCAATCAAATTTTAAAAATTCAGGTCTCTTCTGGTTTCACTGTGTGGGCCATGACTGAAGCATTCGAACCGGTTCAAAGCCTTGGTTTAACAGGCCTGATCACATGACACAGCACACCTGGCCTGTAGTTCTAGGGCATTTACTTAGAAATGGACATCAATGATGCGCTAGCAAAAGCCAGGTGTCATTTGTAGTAGAAAGTCATTCAGTGGGCAGCTTTGTCTCTATTTCACATTTCCAGGGAATTTGAATTAGAGGGACATCACTGAACTAGCTGGGAATGAGCTGTTTTCCCAGATTCTACGCAGAAGGTGAGACAAATAGTCCAGAACTGGGTTTCCTCTGAGTTGCCCGATCTGTAAAATGGAGAAAGAATACAACTGCCAGAGTTATTCGAGAGAGAAAATGTAGAAGGGGCCCAGCACGCCATCTTGCTCAAAAGAAATGGTCGATCAATGCTATTTCTTCTTGCCCCGTATCACCTCCCATCCATATTAGCACTGAAAGCCTGGCTTTCTTCCTGCAATATGTTCTAGATGCTACAGATAGATTTTTAAAAATGGAAGCATACTTTTCAAATGACTCTTGTTACTTTTTCAGAGTTCTTTTTATTCCTGACGATTCGTCAGTAGCACTTTCTCCAATGCCCACCTAACTCT